TTTTTATCTCAGCTCATTAACGTCTCTAAAAATTTGGTACCTACCTACAACTAGCAACAACTCAAAACAAAAATTCTTTGGTCACCAATTAATTAATTTTTAAAAAGCTGAACAGCTGACTACGAATGTTTTAAAATCACAAACCAGTTTTTAGTGGTATATGTTGTTATAGTAGCAGCAGAAACACTTTGTGAAAATTTCGAAAACTATCTAATGACACACAGACGGTAAAAAAAAAATTCTAGTATTATTCATACACACAGATAATAAACAAATATTATTAATAATAAAATACCACGTCTTTACTTTGAATTATGCAAAGTTACAAAACACACATGCACCGAAGTTTTAACACAAGCGTAAGTAGGTCCGTCCGTTCGACACTGCGGTACAGCCGTGACTGTCTGCACCCCGAGCGCACCCCGAGATCGAGGCGCGTAGGTATAGCTCGCGTTTCGTCCGTTTGTATGAAGTTGGAGTACTGTATTATAATTGTACCGTGGCAATACTCACGGAGACGTTTGATTCGTATTCCGTTTACTGCGACACATCGTGCAAATCTTTTAGTGTTTGCTAGGCGACACCAGGATTGGAGTCTTCAAGACTGGGCAGCAATGCTATTTACAGTATTTACAGATAAGTGCAAGATAAAGTTTTCCAGTGACGATCGACGCATTAGAGAAGATCTGAAAAAAGAGTTACAGATCCCTGCATACATGAAACGGACCGTTTTGATGGACCAAATTTAATGGTATCCCCTAGGACGCAAAACTTATCTCGAAATTTTCAACGAAAGTACTGTATCGGCCCACGTTACATGAACAATGTTGTATAGTCCCATATTATCTCAATTGCACAGCAAACTGGGCCAGAGTGCATCTTGATGCAGGAAAATGTTCGACCGCGACAACAATGTCCACATTAGCTGAAGCTGATATTCAAGTTTAACAGTGACAAGCCAGAAGTAAAGATCTGAACCCCATCGAGTATTTGTAGAAACAATTATAAAGATATGTCAGAGAAAGCGACATACCCATAAAGTCGCAGCAGGATCTCATAAATGGTTTGAAAACGTGTTGGCAGAGGATTCCAGAAGGGACAAGGATAAGGGAATGCATTATTAAAAGAGGAGGTCATACCGGATATTAAACAAAAAAAAGATTATGCGGGTATATATGTGGATATAACGAGCTGATCGTTACTTAAGAAGATGTACCCGCTTTTAAAAAATTAACAAAATTCAGGTTGCCCTTATTTTGTTGTGAATAGTATCACACGAGCGAAGCTGCGGCACGGCAGGGACAGCTAGTTAAAATATTGGACTTTCTTTCGCTGTATGTGTCGTGTGCCAATTATCGTTAGTAACAAGAAGACTACTGCTGACCTCTTCCGATATATCACAATAACAGTCTATTTTTCATAATAAAATAAGTATCAAGCTTAGAACATCTATTTTGGCTTGCTCATTATATCCTTGAACTCAATTATGTCAACGCGGCTCCCGCCACCACGCCGGCTAAACGACAACGTCCTCACTTCCTCAGTTTCGGCTTGTAGTGCGTGACTGATGCACGCTCGATTGAACCACGCAAGCGTGTGACGCATTCGATTTTGTTTATATTTACTATTTACATACATTGACTTTACAACTGTGATTTATATTCAGTTATCAAAATACTTGATACCTTTATGCAGTATTGCATTATACACTCATTTACTTTCTGAAAGGTCAGTATTGTGTTTCTTATCTTTCGTTGTATTGGATGTTAATACAAAATAATGCATGCAGTATTTATTTATTATGCCATCAACGTGCTGGGTATGGGATAACACCGCGGCACCGGCACAAATGTTTTAGATATTAGAATTTTTTTCAGTTCTTCGTTCATTTATTTCTGAATACATATTATAGATATTTAAATTATTGACTGCCTCTTTAATAAATTCCGATCCGATCCAAGTAGATAATTTTAAACAATGTGATACAAAGTTGACTGCTAGTTACCGAAATCGTAACAACGAACTCTGACGCAGAATTACAAAATAATTGACCCATTTTACATGTATAGACGGTAGATACATGTAAAAATGGGTCATTCATATACCCGTAGTAGCGTGTGTTCGGCCAGTACTTTATACTGCTTAGAAATTAATATAATATATGTAGATCTGGTACTGGGGATATTAGACTAATACTATTTGATAAAATGATATAGATGTGCCTTACGTTCATAAACAGGTTAGGTTGAACATAGATAATATATTTGGTTTCATTGTCATTGCTGTTTTGTGGGACGTTAAGACACATATGTATACTAATTTCTTAAAAATTCCTTATAGCTTCCATCCTATGAAAGTCCGAATGTCCATGTTTCTCGAAATCCTGTTCTACTGTGGAATAACCTGTCTGCGGCTTGGTAATAAAGGTTAGCCATCTTTTTACCGTCAAGCCGCAGACGGGTTACCAAAATCGCTCACAACAACGTTGTCAATTGCACTTTGTCAACCTTCCTAGGATTGTATTTTGTTCTGTACTGCCGAGTACTGCGACACCTTGTGACACCTCTAGTAAAATTAGCACATTATTTGCAACCGACTTAATACAAGGAGGTTCTCAATTCGCCTCTTACCTTTGGTTGAAAGTACGTACATACACCGATATCTTCCGTGAATTGACTCTATAATTCTTTATTTGATTGGATTATACCCAAGATTGATTGTATTACATGAGGTGATGATTATAATTAATTCTAAAGTAAGCCTTAGTGGGTTCGATGCCCGGACCGGGCAAAATTTAAAAGGGTTTTTCTGAGAGTAAAAAACAGCTACCTGGTAGTAAAATATTATCGAAATCGGTCCAGCCGGTTAGAAGATTACTCGGTACAAACAGACAGGCAGACAAAAAAACTGGTTTTTAGGCATAGGTATCGTGCAAATAACCGCGTGAGCATGAAAAAAATTTAATTATAACTAGCTGACCCGCGCAACTTCGTCTGCGTCTCTCAATAGTAACAAATTTTCTCCGTTTTTGAAACATTCTTCATTGGTGCTCCGCTTTTATTGGTCTTAGCGTGATGATATATATTTTTCAAATCGGACAAGTAGTTCCTGAGATTAGCGCGTTCAAACAAACAAACAAACAAACTCTTCAGCTTTATAATATTAGTATAGATTAATAAATTAAAATTAAATTATAATTAATTTTGACATTACAAACAAACACTTCAATTTTATTGATTTGTATAGAAGTAAAACTTCTAAAACTGTGTGCTGATAATCGCGCTTAACTTCAAGGCGAGGTGCTCCCTTTTTCGTTTAGTCTAGCCAGGGAAGTAGCGTGTTCACGGGGAAATGAAAAATTCAATTCTGTTTGGTATTAAACTTATGGAAAAAGCACGCGAGAGCGGTTGCGCTGGCCCACACGTGCCGATAACTATGTCGGCACATGTGGGGCCAGCGCAACCGCAGTGGTAACCTAACCAGAAACAAATGACACAAAACCAGTGCCAATCAAGTTTTTCGTTGCTTTTCATAAAGTGAGTGAGGTAGGTTACCCGAGCTCAAAAAAATATACACATAGAAGAATAATACTACATAGTACAATGTAGGTAAGAATAATAATACAATGTACTTTATAGACTGGTCAGATCACAAATAAACGAAACTAAAGACGAAGTTATATGTATCGTTTGATTTGACCACATATTGACAAAAGGGGCAGTTCGACCAGCGTGATACTACGACCTCGCAGAAATCGGTATTAAGCAATGCCCAATTGCCTTTAATATAAGAATTAGAAATTCAGCAGTAAAACTATGATATTGTATTGCATTATACTTATGCTCACGTAAATATAGAATGCTCAGGTCAGCTTGCCTAGGAACGCTCATGTTAATTTATAGGGCCACATTTAAAGATGAAGCAAATATCTGTTTGAATGAAAATCAACGAATAGTGCCTGTCACTTTTCTTTCTTTTTGCTTTGCTTTCTCACATGTTGCTGCTTTAACAAATAAAAGAACAGATGAAGATGAACAGTAGCAACAATTAGTGAGTGACACGAGGGCCTTGTTAGAAGTTCAATAAGAAAGTCAATGCTATGCTACTCTGTTATTCAGTTTAATACCTCGACGCAAGATTTAAGAGGAGCTGAAGTGGATCGTCGTTGATAAAAATGTCTTGCAACTAGTCTGACATAAGTTAGTTAGTTTTGTACGGCGACTAAAAAGCATAGGAATGACACGGGGATAATTTTATCTCGTGCGATAAACGCATTCCGCCACTTTTGTTTAATGAGGTTGCAAGTGAAAACAACAGTAAACAGTCTCACGACCAAGAAAAATAAACTTTTCTTTTTAACGTGATATTCACGTTTATATGTCTGAAAATTTAAGAAATATTAAACTTCACATTTATAGCCAATTCTATATAACTCACAACAAAGAGCCTAAACACACTGCTTGTAATAGAGGGAAGGCGTACTTTGACTTAAACAGAGCGGTTTGAGAGTAAAAATGAGATAATTGTGGGTATATTAATAAGGAAAGGTAGGTAATTAGGGAAAGTAGTAGCAACAAAGGGATATTCTGACATTACTTAACCCTCCTGGTATAATGTGCCTCAAAGTAGAATTACGAAAGAATTTTAGAAATCCTGCTGCGTGTTTGAAGTTTGGACTAGTTAAAATAGAAATGAAGACAAGTAGGTATTTATCTATTACTTACTCAATTAATTGTTTACGCCGATTGGCAGAAAGGTACCTAGTTATTTTTAAAACATGAAAAATATTTTTCTTGTACTCGTTATTGTCTGTTAAGTTTAGAAGGTTTTCAATTTGACGTATACGATTTTTGTGGCGGTTCATGACCTCTAAGACCTACCTTCGCCGATCCCGCCTGCATAAACATCCTTTTTAACATAAGACGAGCTCTTGAAAAAGTATTGAGAAGAATGAGTAGAATGTTCGTCTATGTTGTCATTTACAGGTGTTTACGTTCGCGATGGAGGTGTGTCGACTGCGTGCCGTGGCCTCTCTGGCAAAACGTCACTGCGAAGGGCTTACTTGTAGTTTAAAAGTAAGTTTTTTTTGCCAATTATATTATGTTCTTCAAAAAAGGATATACGGAGATAAGTGTATCTACTACCTACAGTTAGTTTTGATATATTAGCTTTACGCTAATTGATTTTCGATTTCAAATTAATGTCGAAGCCAGGTCACATGCGAGGTTCCCCAGGGATTGGCTTAGGTCCTCTCCTGTGGAATCTCGCGTATGATACGGTACTGATTACCAGTCTTCCCTCAGGATCGAGTGTAAAGTATAAGGATCCCAGGTTGGAAAGCTTATATTAAATTTACTACACGAAGACTATTGAATGTCCTTTTAGGTAAATACAGTAACTGACTTTATTGCCAGAAATAAAAATTTGAGTTATTATAATTTATATGTTCACTAAACGTCCTCAATGCTCTCATTTATACATTTCCTGATAACGTTTGGTCATTATTTTTTCGGATGGCCTTTACTAAATAACCGAAAATCGATCTAAGTGGCGTGCAATAGGAGAGGCCTATGTCCAGCAGTGGACTGCGATAGGCAGATGATGAAAATAGATTTTCGGTTACGTTAGATACTAGACTAGGTACAGTAGTAGGTCCATAGTCAATTGATTTACACTTCATCTTATACATCCCTTGTATTTAATAATAAAACCTACTTAATCCTAATTATTTCTACAAAGTCTGTGTAAAGTAATGTCTTTCAATCGTCATTTCAACGGTTTACTGATATTTTTTTTAGTATAGACTGACTTTTTCGCAACCGTTTAATTATTTTCTAAGGTCCACAGGTTTTGAATTACTTACAAATATACATATCTACAAATATAAAAATACAACTTTATAAAGAGTCACTCTTTTTGCCAGAATTCCCACCCTCTATTGTCTTGTGCGCCTGTGATGGTCGTGGGGCTCAATAGAAGCGCGCACACGATGAAGATCAACGACAATATGCAGTACATAAGTAATGATAAAGTCAAGCTCAAACTTGATCCTAGTAATATGAAGTAAGTAACCCATTTAAGTTTAATCTAATTTTTGTCTATAATGTTGACACTGTATTCTGTGCAATTCAAAGTTTAGTATTTTTAAAACCTTTTTTATCTATCATCATAGCCAATCACAGGACAGTTTGTGAACTTACAAATAAAGAAAATATTTTTCTGATTCTATAAAGTGTATTAAGTATACTGAAAATATAAATTCTTTCATTACTACGAGTAATATTATCCATATAAAACAACCAACAAAACCCTGCCATGAAACGAGTACTGGGTCATACTCAGAAAAAATGTACATTTGCCATTTGTTAATAAACTGATAAGTAACGAAATGGAGAATCAATGTGACAAAACTGATATTGTAAAGCAGGGTACATACTGAACAGAACACGCATCAAAAGTTAAAAAAATAATAAAACATCAGTTTTAGATATTTAAGCACTTTAATATTTATAAAAATAAATTAATCTAAATAAAAACATAATATCACAGAAATCTAAATCAGGCTCATCCTACGCGATGGGAATAAGTGAATATTCCAACGATACGAATATATCATTAAGACTAAAGAACCCTAAGCCTTTTTAGTTGTTTAGTCAAGTTAGTCTGACGTAGTGCAGTGTGTGCTACTCTTGAAGAACAAGTACAAAGTGTATTTTCATTGAAGTAGGAACCATAAGAAAAGTACCAATGGACGCACTCTTTAAGTATATTATATTTTTTTAGATAATCAATTTAAATTACTCATTACGCCTAAAGGCTTGATTGCAATTATTATGAGGGACCATCCAGCTACAAAATAAAAAATAAAAAACTCAATTGTATCAATCAGTATGTACGAGTACAAAATGCAATGGTAGGTTTAGTAGTAGTTACAAATTAAATTAAATTACAGTTTTCTCGTTAAATTACAAATTATTGTTCAAAACATAAAAATAACTAAGAACAATCATACACATTTCTAAAAAATCAGTTAAATAATCGGAGTAATATTGTCAAAATTTTATCGGGCCCTTCCATATTTCGAGCAACTAAAGAAAACAAGTTGTCAAGAACCGTTAAGACCAAATTGAAAAAAAAATAAGCAAGAAAGTAATAACAATATTTCTTAAAAATAAAAATAATCTTTCATAATGAAAATCAGTCTCGAATCTCCATAACAAACCATAACAAAACAAAAGATTTGAGATACGTACTGCTCCATTATTTAAATATTTTGGTAACTGAAGAATCAACTTAATAAAATAATAATATTATTGATTATAATTAAATAAAAATAGAAATAAATATAGTATTATAATTAAATAAAAAATATCCTAAATACTTGCCTACTCTGCACTAGTACCTACACAAATAATAAGTCAATCAATTTTTTTTTTAGTTCAACAGAAATATATTGTCACGTTCTGGAATCAAGCCAGACATTTTCATTGTACCACGATTACACTTCTGTTCCCCTTAATTAATGTAATAAAATTTTAATAATAATTATTTTTTAAAATTAGAGTAACTTCGTAAACTCAGCTTTACAATTTCTCAGTTTCGTAACATAACGCAATATAACTAAACTGAAGACAAACTCTGAGAAATTTTAACCCCGAAAAATAATTCTGTTAGTAGGTACCACTTATTGTATACATAATAACTGAATTTATTTGTCTATATAATATTATAACTAAGACGTGGGCATAAAATAGTACAAGCAATCGTATATGCTTAACGAAATTCAAATCGTTAATCACCCTGACAGTATTTTTTTCCAAATGCGAATTCAACACAATGAGTCCCGTGTACGGATGAAAACAAAACGACTTCTGTATGTACGGTGAATTATAAAAAGCAGCAATGTTGTCAATATTATAAAAATTATTTCCCGTCAGTTTCGAACAACTGCGTTCAGAATTATACGCACGTAACTAACACTGAGTAACGAAATGTAATAATTTTGGGACAACATTAATATGAATTATAATCATTTTATTAAACGTTCTAAAGAATAAATCGTATTACTATTTAAATGATGAACTAAAAGAGACCTAAATGACTACAGTCAATCTTAGGTAAGTCGACTAATAGTCGTAACAATTACTCTTTTATTAAGATAAATCGTCATTGGGACATTAAAAATTGTATGGAAGATATTTTATAAAAAAATCCAATGCTATTTACACTATGATTTGACGAAAATATTATATCTATACTAATATTATAAAGCTGAAGAGTTTGTTTGTTTGTTTGTTTGTTTGAACGCGCTAATCTCAGGAACTACTGGTCCGATTTGAAAAATTCTTTCAGTGTTAGATAGCCCATTTATCGAGGAAGGCTATAGGCTATATATCATCACGCTAAGGCCAATAGGAGCGGAGCACCAATGAAGAATATTTCAAAAACGGAGAAAATTTATTACTATTGAGAGACGCAGACGAAGTTGCGCGGGTCAGCTAGTCTATACTAATATTATAAAGCTGAAGAGTTTGTTTGTTTGTTTGTTTGAACGCGTTAATCTCAAGAACTACTGGGCGATTTGAAAAATTCTTTCAGTGTTAGATAGCCCATTTATCGAGGAAGGCTATAGGCTATATACCATCACGCTAAGACCAATAGGAGCGGAGCACCAATGAAGAATGTTTAAAAAACGGAGAAAAATTATTACTATTGAGCGACGCAGACAAAGTTGCGCGGGTCAGCTAGTTATTTATAAAAAAAGATCCTATTAAAGACTAAACATAGATGTAAACATGGTTAAAAATATGTGCCATAATATTCAAATTTCAAATCTGCTATTAAAGTAGTGGGACAAAAAAAAAGTGCCCAATGTACATTTTTTCGGAGTATGACCCTACTAGTAAACATTGTAGGAACCTTTTGGGTGAAGGTGGTGAATGTAAACGTGGGAGAGCCAAGCTTCGGCCCAAATAGGCCGGCTCGACCGGAGTTATACCAAGACGTCGCAGTAGACAGGCGTTTAAGTAATTATTTCGTTGCATTTCCTCGAGTTACTGTGGCTACCGCAGTCCCTCGCCCCCCTTTCCTTGATACGAGGGGGGGGGGGACTGGGAAGAGGAGGAATGGCGGCGACACACTTGTGACTAGGTACGGAATAAAATCACAACCACATGTTATAAATCATATGATTTATAAATCTTTCATCACACGTGTGACTGATTTACAAAACCACTGCGACTTAATTAATTTTATTACGCTAGCGCAAGACCGACGAAAGGTCTAAAATCAAAAAAAGAAAGCTCATTATCTTTGATAAACAGAAGTTTTTGATCAGATTCACGAAAGTGGAATTCCCATTTGAGGGTGTACAGTACTCGATAATTCCTTTATCTTAAATAAAATCTATTATATATTGCAATAAAACATCTTCGTCTCCTCATAATGCCTACATATTTACAGTGACATGAATTAGAAAGATATGAAACTATAGATGTTAACAAAAACATGTAAACTTCTTTCTATTTCCAGACTTAACCAGAACATTGAGAAGCCTTTGTGTATAATGATGAACTACATGATGGCTAAGCCGAAGCACGTACAGAAATATGCAGATTTGTATCTGACACAAGGGATTGACGTCATTGCCGTGTCATGTACGCCGTGGCAATTGATGTGGCCCGTCAAAGGATCCCAGGTTGGAAACGTTATCTATTATAATTAATTACATGAATACCATTAAATTACCTTTTAGGTAAATATGGTAACTGACTTTATGACCAGCAATTACAACTTTAGTTATTTTAATTTATGTGTTCACTAAACGTCCTCAGTCACTTATTTATTCATACATTTACTGAAAACTTTCCTGGCCATTTTTTTACTCGAAGGCCTTTCACGCTATCAAAAACCGCGAATAAAAACCAAAAACGAAATGTATCCTTTCTGATAGAGGATTCACAAGGCGCAAGTGTCACTTGTTAAGGCTGTTTACCACGCCGGGTCTACACAACAACCATAGACTATCCCAATAGTAGTAGATTATGGCATAGAGTTGTTGGTAAAAAAAAAACTTATCGTCTAGCTACACGCTCTTTCTCGATCATCCCAGTTACCTAATCCTCAATCGGTCTCTAATAAATGTTTATTCCCCTTGCCTAAAAAATTACAATGTGTCGCTGTGTAAATTTCAGTTCTAAACTACCTTTTACGTTTTTATTTATTTTTACTTTATGCATAATACGTCTGTGTGGTGGATTAAGAATACAGAGTATCACCACCCCTATCCATCCCATGGGTATTGTATGAGCTAAGTAAGGTAGCAAATTACGCAGGACAACAGAACTGCAAAGAGAAGGCCAACGTGGCATATTAGGCCAAAACCGCCTCTCTAAGACGTCCAGCAGTGAACTATTAAAGGCTGTTCATGGTGATTATGCATCATGTGTACAGAGGCAGTCTTAATGTTTAAAGCATTCTCTTCCAGTCTACCTTAGGGTGATGTAGAAATAAACGAGAGTAGGTGCATAAAAAAGTGTAGAGTATAATGTGAAGAATAGAACAAATAGGTACATAGATATTTACATTCCTACATACATACTTTTTTATACCATTTAGGTGATAGCAGATCAACTATTGAGATTGCTGGAGGTAAATAGCTGTGGCTCTACGCACCCGATGATGGTGCACGGCTTCTCCGTTGGCGCGTACTTGTGGTCTGAGCTACTGGTGCAAACTACCAAGAATAAGGAAAGGTCTGGCATCTATTTCAGGCAGTAAAGAATTATCATCCCTAAATTAAGAGATTTACGTTTGATATTGGAATTATCTTTTTGACAAAGCTTCTAGGACTGTTATCTGCTTGTTTTAGGGTTACATTTATATAAAACATATTTAAAGTATAAGTTTTAACTAACGCCTGGGACGGAATCTATTTTAAAACACTCACTGAATCTGTTTTAAACTTGACTTTCTAAGTTTTACACTGTATCAGTACAATAGAAGTTAGTACTTAGTAGGTTCTTACGAAATTGAATAACAGTAAAAGAAACTACAATGATGATGAAAAAAATATCGATAAAATCTCAAAAAGGTTGTTGTTGATTTGAAATTTCATTAGAAAAGGGATCAACTAGCTAGACGCTGGGTGTACTCTATGGATCCTGGTAGTCGTCGTACGAATTCACTTCTTTATTATTTCGTATTTCTGTAATTTAAAAAAATCGTAATGTTTGGTTATTGATTACAGAAAGGCCCATGTTTCAAAATTTATTACAAGCTTTATTAGTTAGTCGACATTAATAATAATAACTTTTGTTCCCAGGTACCAACCAGTACTGGATCGTGTAGCCGCCCAGGTGTTTGACTCAGGTGCTGATATACACGAGATTCCTGTAGGGTTTCCCACTGCCGTGTTCCCAAAAAATAAGTTCCTACAGGAAACTTTTCGAGCTTACATAAAGTACGTAACTCTTTGTATGTTTTAGGTGTAAATTGCATATATTAGTCCCTATAAAAAATAGTTGTTAATTATGTTAGTTTTTAGAAGATATCTACTTATACTCGTACTGTTTTTTTTTTTGCAGAGCACATATGAAAGTATTTTATAACGTAGCAACAAAACATTATATGATGGCGACGGGAGTGTTTCACAAAAACCCCTGCAAAGCACCAAGCTTGTTCCTGGTGTCCAAGACAGACTCTATTGGAGCTGAGAAGAGAAGTAGAGAAAAAGCTGCTTCGTGGGAAACCCTTGGGATTAAGGTGTGTAAAGTTTTCAATAAACTCATTCTTTCGTTTTTTGAATGAAATATGATAATGTTTTAACATATTCAGATAATTGTCAATAACTTTTATTATAAGGTTATTTATTCCCTAAGCGTGATGATTAAAAGATAATAAAAGGTTAAAAATGTTAGTTGGAAACTCTGAGACGTGTTGTCATTCCTCGACAATGCAGTACCCAAGCCTACCATTTTGACGTTTAGTAAATATAAACTAATAGTACTTCACTGTCACCTAAATTATTTTTATCTTAAACGACTTCTTATCAACAGTGCACCATCAAGTGTTGGGACAAATCTCCCCACGTGCAACATTACATGCGACATCCTGAAGAATACAGATCTACGTTGTACTCGCATCTGACCAAGTGTGGCATCTTGAACAACAAGTCATAACGTTCAAAAACTGACTCACCATCCTGAGTGTAATAACGTGTCTTTAGAAACGACAAAATTGTTGTTTTTAAGACTTAAGTGTAGAAACTACGGTGTGAAGGAAATTTGTCATGTGAATACGATTTTTGTTTTATGTTAGAGGGGACAGAGGAGTAGGCGGGTCACCTGATGGAAAGTCCCCATTAATGATGTAAGGGTTTTTTATTGGGCATATTGTCATGGGTTAGATTCTGGTGTTCCGGGCAATCATAGACATTGTCGTACTAGTACAAGTAGTTGTTGGACTTGTATTTTTTTCCATAAAGAGCTTTTATTAACACCATACTAACTTTTAAACTTTCCCGTTCCATAATAAATAAGGAGATGTGTAGGCATACGAGCATCAGTGCGATACATGCATAATTACATATTGTTAGAACTGTTTGGATAAATGAAAATACAATTTAATAATAATTTTCATAATGTAACTTCATAATTAGTCACAAAAAATAAATAAAAAAAGACGTGTGGCACTCGGGGACTGCCGCGGTAAAGCTATTGCATAGCATTTTGTATCAACTTATGCAATTATAATTATTTATTTATTTTATTTATGCAGTATTTCTTTTTCTTTGATATTAATTCAAGTTACACTTTTTGAGCGTGGTGACCGATAAGAAAACAATTTTTTTTCTTTTATTAAATAAAAATATTGAAGCATATATTACAATTTCTTTTTAAATAAATAAATAAAAAATATTATTATTAAATCAAATTACATATCCATGTAAGATTTTTCTGCATTATGTTGACGAAATTTCCTTTGACGTTCAGCATTTGATTTTGGTACTGTTTTTTGTTTTGTTTTTAGCGTGAGGTTTTTTTTCGTTACGGAATTTCTGGATTCGGTCCCCGCGCTCAAGGCCCTCGATAGAAGCTATGCAATAGCTTAAAAAACCAAGACGTGTCTGCTAAAATGACGGGCCTGTTATATGACGGGCCTGTTAGTCTAGTGGTTAGTAACCCTGACTGGTAAGCTGGAGGTCGTGGGTTCGATTCCCACCCAGGACAAATATTGTATGATGAGCACGGTTATTTGTTCTGTGTCTAGGTGTAATTTATCTAAAATATGTATGTATTTAGAAATATATAAGTATGTTTATTAGCAGTCTGGTTACCATAGTACAGTACAGTTACATAGTACCATAGTACAGTACATTATAATTATTATTATTTAGTTAATATATAACTCATTTAGATATTGTATAATTACTGACAAACGCTTTAACAGTATAAATTATATTATTTGTCAATTCAAAGTTATGTAATGAATACCTATCGTGAGCGCGTTAATTTCGGTTAACATAGTATATATTATGCAACGCGATAGTTTAAAAGTTAGTGAGTTTAATCGGTACATAAAGAATTCAATAATTCATTAAAGATAAACGTTTTATTCACTTATGTGTTTTGGGAAGTCTCGTAACCGAAAAAGATACAGGGCCTCCGGGCCGAATCTAGTCAGGCCTCCTAGAAATACAAAAAAAAAAATACAATTGAAAAATTATTGGATAACCTATTTATCTAGGAAAGCTGTAGATATCACGCCACCACCAATAAGAACCAAGCACCAATAAAAATTGTTGTAAAAAGGGCTAAGTTTATTCCTTTTGAGCAATGCATGAAAAATATGAATGATTTTAGAAAAAGTTGCTATTCTGACTCAATTATTCGATTTTTTAAGGCGACATAAGTCTTAGGCAATTCAAATCCCGTTTCAACAGATAACAGTCGATAACAGACCACTTACATTTGAACATTTGCTTTAATAAATATAATTATTCTTCTAAGCAAGCAAGACTTTTTTTGCAGTTTTGTTACTTACGTTGTACCTAATATTATAGAGGTATAATTTATACAATATTTTGATAAAACAATGAGTACACATGACTGAAATAAAATGCAAACAGACAAACTGTTGTTATACACTGACAAACTGTTGGGTTTTGTATTTTTGTAGACACAAAACCTTCTCTTTAATCATTTTTTTATTAAAATATCATCATCCACTGTAATATAATAAATCAATAATTATAACAACAGAAACTTAATTAACAATAAAAAAAGTGAGTGTGTGTCAGCTCCGACGCACGACTGGAGTTTACTCGTTAAGAACGATTTGGCTGCACACAAGTATACAAGTTATAAACACAAATATGTGAAAGATTGCGCACAAAAACGTAACGAGGTCATTCGATCATTAAATTTTTACCGAGCACCTTATATGAAAATCGAATCTTAAGGAGTAAACTCCAATAAAATATTTACAATATTTGCCACGTTGACAGGCGCCTTAAATAAAGTTCATTCGCGTTAAGAAAATAGTGACGTAGCGATCAAGCCCCCCATCCTGGCTAATTAGGTTGCAAAGAAGAAACGATAATTTCTTGGAAAATGATTGGTCAGGAGGCGTGCATGCGTCACAATTTTCTTGCAAATGGACAATTTTTTGTCAATATTATCTAATATCTTCTTAACGCTATTTCCTTAACGCAAATGGACTAAAATTTTTCAATGTTAGATTTCAAGCAAGGAATCATTTTAGTTTCAGTTTCAGTTGTTTATTTAAGTACGTTACATGGGCAGCCAGTGCGAATTATCGCAACTTACCCAGGATAAGTAAATATAATGTTTGATACTATCGAATCTAGGTCTAAATATATTTAAGCATAATACAACTGTATACCTAACACGCTGTACGAACTCGCATTTTTATTTAAATATGAGCGAATAAAAATGTACTTAAAATAAACGATATCTTTTTGTTTATCCTGGTCTGTCTGTTTAAAATTAATCAAAATTCTTTTTATCAAAGATTATGACTTATTTTTTTTAGATTTATACATCTCGCGATTAATAATTATAATAATTAATTAGCATTGATTTTATAAATCAGTCACATTTGTGATGAAACGATATTTAAATCATATGATTTATCAAATGTGATTGTGATTTTGAAAAGCCCGGCAATGCACTTGTGACTCTTTTTACAGTTGTCCATGAGCGGCGGTAGGCTTTCCATCCGGTGACCGTGAGCTCGTTTGCTTCTGTTTAAAAAAATTTAATTGCGAAATACCGATATGTGTCGACACGGAATGGATCCGAGCCATTTATAACTTAGGTAATTATCGCCATTCACAAACAGATAGATTTTCAAATAAACATTTTTTTCTTTGAATATTTATTCATCATCATCATTAACAGCTTTTAATAGTCCACTGCTGGAAATAGGCCTCTCCTTAAAAAGGAGGTTTTGGCCTACTATACCACGCTGGCCTAGCGGGTTGGTATAGAGTTTGTTTCAAGTCATCCCCAACTGTATCCTCACGTTGACGTCGTGGGGGGGCTTGCGCTGGTCAGTGAGGCTATGACGGTAGAGTCACTGCCAGTGGGAGTGCCCTCACTCCCACTGCCGATTCAATTGACGTCCCTGATGCCCATCTCCGCCAAATTCTTTAGCAATAAACTTGCGTATTCGCCAAATACGCAAGTTTATTGCTAAAGTTAGTGAAACTGGTTTAATTGTTGATGCGCCGACACGTGAGCGTGCTCGTACTGTGCGTACACGGCTGAGTGTGCGTGAGAATCCATCAACATCAACTCGTCATCGTTCTCAAGAATTGAACAATTCACGCACCAGTTTACGTCGAATTTTAAAAGATCGAAAATATCTCCTTACGACGCCTTACAAAGTTCAATTGGTTCAAGAGTTGAAGCCGCATGACCATCCGCTTCGTTTTCGCTTCGCTAGATGGGCCAACGAGAAGAGAACGATGATGTCGATTTTGCCAAAAAACATCTTTTCGGATGAAGCTCATTTTCATAGGTTTTGCAAAATTGCTGTATTTGGGGTTCAAAAAACCCACACGTGGTCTTAGAGAAGCCAATGCGCCCATTACGAGTGACTGTTTGGTTTTGCGGCTTGTGGAGCGGAGCCATCATTGGCCCATATTTCTTTGAAAATGAGGACGGCGCAACCATTACGGTCAATGAAGACACCTATCGCACCATGATAACCGATTTTTTTGTGCCCGCTCTTGATGGTACTGATGTGAACAATGTTTGGTTTCAACAGGATGGTGTAACTTGCCGCAAATCTCAAGCCACAATCGATTTACTTCGTCAAACTTTTTAATTGACCGTTTAATTAGCCAAAATGGTGATGACAAGTGGCCGAAAAGAAGCTGCGATTTGACACCGTTGGACTATTTTCTGTGGGGCGCCGTTAAATATAAGTGTTATGCCGACAAACTAGAGACAATTGAGCATTTGAAGGCCAACATTCGTGATGCCATTGCCGAGATGCGACCCCATACACTCGAAAAAATGCTCGAAAATTGGTCCGATCGAATGGGATACTGTGAAGCCACCGCGGCAGCCATATGAATGAAATAATATTTCATACCGGAATACTTCACAACAAAAAAATAAATTTGGGAAAATTTCGAACCGTTTTTGTTATATTGCATTTTTTAATTTAAACTTTTAAATGGCCCACCTTTTAGCTTTGAATAAACATTAACTTGCCTAAAAATGTCATGTTTCCGTATTAAAATGTTTGCATCTTCTCAAGCATCTCTATTTTAAGTATCCATTTACTTTAGAGTTTTCTTGTTTAAATAAATCGTATAATCAAAACATTTGAATTAATTATTCTACTGCTCACCCTTGACCCTCTTCGTTGCAGCAAATCCGCTATCTTTTTAGGCAGGCTAATCGGACTGCCTCTCTTTTTAGGCAGGTCGACCATTTTTCTACCTACTTTGTTCAACGTATATGCGTTTTCGAACGATTAGAATCTTAAATCTTGGTATCTCATCTAATACCTTTAAACGAGCAATTCTGGTATAGATACATAGAATCTGAATTTCGGCAACGGCTCCAACGATTTTCATGAAATTCAGTTGCAGCGGGTTTCGGGGGCGATTAATCGATCTAGCTAGGTTTTATGTTTAGAAAAT